GCCTCTATGTCCTGTTGTTGGCCATATAGAGGAACTGGCTGGCCACTGTGTGAGACAGGAGGCTGGACTAGATGGACCACTGGTCTGATCCAGCACAGATCTTCTGATGTTCTTTGAAGGCCTCAGCCTCTATGTCCTGTTGTTGGCCATATAGAGGAACTGGCTGGCCACTGTGTGAGACAGGATGCTGGACTAGATGGACCATTGGTCTGATCAAGCAGGGCTCTTCTTATGTTATTAGGAAAGCCTTGGCCTCTGTGCCCTGTTGTTGGCCCTCCAGAGGAACTGGTTGGCCACTATGTGAGAGAGGATGCTGGACTAGATGGACCACTTAAGGCAAATGTTCCAGAATCTGGCAACTTTAAATAGAGAGAGGGGAAAGTGCCTCTCTGATTTCAAGGTGGGTCCTTTTGCATGACCTTTCAGGGTCTGCTAAAGGGAATGAACGAAGCAGAGGAAAATGACGTGGGCACGCATACCACTCGTATCTTGTACTTCACGCACCAAGGAACGGTGTGCCTGGTCTGTTGTAACATTTTCCATGCCTAGATCATTCAACCGAAACTGTTTTGGCTCGGACAGCTGTGCAAAATTATTTTAAAACATATTGGAGGCCAGAAGGCTCACTTTGCAGAGAAAAAGTGCTCCTCTGCGTTTCAACAGTAGGTGATGGTGTGCAGTTGGGAATGGCTTATTAACTCCCCATTGGTTGTGCCTCGTCAGGTGGACTGCCTCAGCCCTCTGAATCACCAGCGGCTCTGTGTGCTGTTCAGCAGCTCTTCGACCCAGTCCAGCAATGCTCCAAGTGCCTGCGTTAGCCCATGGTATGAAACTCCTTTCTGTCTGTCTTCCCTGGTTGACTTAAATGTGCATCCCGGTTAACTTAAATGTGCGTCCGAATCCCCCAGAAGAGATTTCCTTCAAATGTAAACGCTAGGTGGGAGCAGTCTGGTTTGTGAACGTTGTGTGTGATCTTGGGCATTGGACAAGAAGGGTACAAGGGAGTGGGTTGGAGACTCTGCAGTGCTTCCCCTGACTTCAGAACTTTCCAGGAGTGGGGGGTGGAGAGTGCCGTCAAGTTGTGGCTTATTTATGGCGACCCCTCGTGGGGTTTTCAAGGCAAGAGATGTTCCGAGGTGGTTTGCCATTGCCTGCCTCTGCGTAGCAGCCCTGGGCTTCCTTGGTGGTCTCCCTTCCAAGTACTAACCAGGCCCAGCCCTGCTTAGCTTCTGAGATCTGACGAGATCGGGCTTGCCTGTGCCATCAAGGTCAGGGCTTTTGAGGAGAGCTGGGATGGGGGAAACGCCACAACTCCTTTGTGCTTTCTTTAGGGTCCGCCATCTTAAGGAGAATGTGTGAGACCCTGGACAAATCTCCCCAGACTCTCCTGTCTCTAATCTTGTTGTATTGAACCCAAACTTGTGAGCCTTAAATGTGTTGTGGAGTTCTTCCTATTGGGTCAGGAACCCTGCCGGAGCTGCCCTTTTCTGTTTGTTTTTTGGAAGAGCAGAGGTGTCGAACTCCTTTGTTATGTTGTAGATTTGGATACTGCAAAGTCTGTAAATATTGCAGAGCATAATAGCTTATTCTGGGGGAGAAGGCAGCACGGTAGAGCCTAGTCTCATCAGATCTTGGAAGCTAATCAGGTTCGGCCTGTGCATAGGAGACAACCAAGGAAGACGCTGCAGAGGCAGGCAATGGCAAACCACCTCTGCTCATCTTTTGCCTTGAAAACCCTTTGCTGGGGTCACCAGAAGTCTTTTGCGACTTGACAGTACTTATGTATCTAATGGCTTAGTCTGAAACATTGGGGGAAGGGGGAAGCTGTAGTTTTGAAAAGTTTTAATGCTGCCTACGTACAGTAGAGGAGCTGTGGTGGCTCAAGTGGTTAAGACGCTGAACTGCAGGCTGTGGAAGGTCGGTAGTTCTGCAGTTCGAGACCCGGGTGCCGCATGACGGAGTGAGCTCCCGTCTCTAGTTCCAGATCCTGCCAACCTAGCAGTTCGAAAGCAAGGAATTGCAAGTAGATAAATAGGTACTACTTTGGTGGGAAGGTAACAGCGTTCCGTGCACCTTGGTGTTTAGTCATGCCGGCCACATGATCACGGAAACGTCTTCGGACAGCGCTGGCTCTTCGGCTTTGAAACGGAGATGAGCACCGCAACCCTAGAGTCGGATTCGACTGTCTTTCGAGCAAGGGAACCTTTACCTTATGTACAGTAGTGCTTTGGTTGGGCTGCAGTATATTTTTTCATTTTATGTAATTTGTAGTCCACCTTTCTCACTGGGGACTCAAGGCAGATTACATGGAGTAAGTCAATAGACTCACAGTGTGGGACGTCCAATAAAATAAAGTTTGAGGAACTTCCACAGCAGAGTTTCCCCTGGCCCAGTATAGTGGAATTGCTGCATCTGATGGAGCGATAACTTCTCTTTCCTCACCACCTTGGAGACCAGCAAGGTCAAGCGGGAGCACCTCTGACCTCAGTTCAACTTTTGCCAGGGGCTATACCAGTGAAAAATAATTAATACTGATGATTAATGGGGAGTCATTCTAGGATTGTGCCATTTCCAGTTTCCTACTCTGTAAAAACCTTGACATGGCCTTGGGCCTGCGTGCTTGAAAAGGAACGTCTCTTGCTGTAAGAACCGGTCTGACGGCTGCATTCCCCTCAGCCCTTGGTAGTGACCAGCTCTGTCTCTCAGGACTGTGATGTGACCCGTGGCTTTTTCTGTAGGTGCTCTGAAACAGCTTCCCAAGAGAAGGTTGGATGCAGAAGTGGAAGAGGGTTGTTGTGGGAAAGCCTGTTGCATCAGCGGAAGTCTTCTTCTGCTGAGAAAGACTGTTGCTTCAGTGGAAGACTCCTTCTGCTGGGTCTAACCCAAGTCCAGGAAATTACCTCTCCTGCGATGCTTCAGTGCTACTTTACACTACTTTCTTTCAAGTGAGCCTTTTGAGTGATATGACGGGCCCCGCCCACTTCCCTCCCTCAGAAGCCAGATTTTCCCTCCGTTTCTATTTCCCTTCACTGACTGAACAGCCTTGGTAACCTGTTTCACAGTAAAGGCAGGAATCTGACTGACTTTACCTCCGCATCCAACTCTCTCAAGACTTCCTTTTTTGCTCAGCCAACAAATCAGATTGTTTGGAGCAACCTGTCACTCAAGGCTCTCTGGCTCTGTGAAGAATTAACTCATCATAGTCCTTTAGTTCGTTGGTACAGCACTTCTAAGCAATGTTCCCTCTAAGCTGTGGAGTCTTGTGAGCAAAAATTCTACTTTGTGAGCGGCTGGCATTAAAGCTGTGAGCGAGCGATTTGGCTACTGCATAAATTAGCTTGCTCTGGAGTCATCCTCCCTGAGCTAAGACAAAAATCTGTGAGCTGGAGGCTAAAATTCTGTGAGCTAGCTCACACTCACTCAGCTTAGAGGGAACACTGCTTCTAAGCCTCTTAAAAAGTGCAGTCCGTCACAGATGAATATGTCATGGTGTTGGGTGTACCTGTGAGTGTCGTGAGCTCTTATATATGGATTATTGTTTCCGTTTGTAGCGACGGGATTTTATGGGCAAGGGGGAAACGGGGCAGGATGGAAATGTTTTGAGAAAGAACGTTCATGGGCTTTCTCTAAAATCACATCTAAATTTGGGCAAAGTGGAAGCCCTCTGGGGGAGATAGATTACAAGACTTTCCAAACCATTAAAAAAACGCTATTCTCTGCCATTTCAGGATTGTGACGATGGAATTCTACGGAAAGAATGATCTCACTTTGGGTGTGTTTCTCGAAAGGTATTGCTTCAGGTGAGAGTCTTTTTTAGCAGCTCTCTTGACAGTGGTGTGGATCCTACCCCTGTGGATCCTACTCCACTGAGCACAGTTGGAAGCCTTCCTCCAACCTGAGGAATTGGGACGCCAACTCTGGGTTTAGAAATTCCTGGGGATTTGGGAGTGGAACCAGGGGAGGGGGGGGGGACCTTAGTGGGGTATCGTCCACCCCTCCACAGCGAGAATTTTCTTCAGAGAAACTGATCTGTGTCACCTGGAAATCAGACATGATTCTGGGAGTCAACTTCAGTGGTTCTTCCATTGGAAGAAGTTTCCTTATACTGAAGAAAATCTCCACGAGGAATGGTTGGATCCACCCCAGCAGATTCTTATTTCAGCATGGAGTTCTGGCTGAAGGGTGTGTCTGGTACCTCGGGTTGCCAACCCCCCGATGGGGGGCAGGGGTTCCCCCAATTTCAGGGCCCCCAGTCTGCCACTGGCCAGCTGGCTGGCGGAGAAGCCCTGCCCCCGACGAGCCCCACTGCGTCCGACGTGTCCAGCACGATGACGTCAGCAGATGACCCAGAGGTGACATCATCACACCGGGCATGTCGCACAGAGGACACACTAGTATTTGGCTAAAAACTATGGCAACCATAAAGTTTTTAGCCAAATGCTAGAGTGTGCCCCGTACGATGTGCCCAGTGCGATGACGTCCTGCTTAGGCCAGCTAATGATAAAGGAAAAACAAGCTCACAATTCATTAGAACTTTAAAAGTGCAGAACTGCAATGAGATTTGAGTGAAAATGAATACTAGGATCTCATTATCAATACAAAACATAATGAGAAGCACAGTATAACTCCAAACAGTCGTAGGACAGGGAGAAGTGAAGATGATCACCAGTTTAGCTGAGAGGTGGTGTACAATGTTCCCTCTAAGCTCCACAGCTGTGAGCAGTAATTCTACCTTGTGAGCAAAAAAAGCTAGTAGCATTAAAATTGTGAGCAAGCCTACATTTGACTATTGCGTAATTTTTTTAGATTATTTCCATTACATTGTAAAAATCTCAAAATGAATTCTTTTAAACTATATTTTAAAAATAATTTAAACATTATAAGAGAAAACAGAATCAAGTCAAATGTCATTAAAAAAAATAATTCCTGGCTCAATTAGCCTCTGGGGACCATTATAGTCAATGGGCCCCATAGGCTATAATGGAGAATCAATCCAGGGGTATCTAGGGCTCTGGGGGGGAGGTTGAGGTAGAGGCACCAATTTTGCAGCATAGCTGCTGGTACCTCTACTCAAAAAAACACCCCCAATGTTCAAAAAGATTTGGGCCTGGGGGTCCAATTCTATGGGCCCCAGAAGGAGGTGCCCCCATTCGCTATTGTTTCCTATGGAAGCTTGGTTGTGAGCTGAACAGAAATCCTCTGAGCTGGCCTCTGAAATGTTGTGTGCCAGTGCCCCCTAGGGACACAGTGTCTGCCATTGCAGTAGAGGTTTTTGGTTTCCAGTGGTACAGCATGAGGTGAAACGAAGGGGAGGCACGTTGTTATATCAAGAATGAACAAACTGAATAGGCTGTCCTGGCTGGAACCTACTCTCCTCACAACTCTCCTTCTTTGTCTCAAGGCCCTCTTACCAGTGCCCCAGCATGTTCTGTGAGACTCCCATGGTGCACCACATCCGTCGCTTCGTCCACGGGCAAGGCTGCGTACAGATCATACTGAAGGAACTGGACTCCCCAGTGCCTGGCTACCAGCATACGATCCTTACGTACTCCTGGTGTAGGATATGCAAGCAGGTAATGATGATAGTGTCTCATCTGGGGAACTGGTTCTCCGAGCTTAATTGGATCATGAGATGGACCTTGTTGCTAGTGAGAGTGTGAAACAATGAATGGAGGCAGGATACATTTTTGAATGAAAAAGAATTTTGCTCAGACCCCTGTAGATAGTCCTGCTGGATAAACATTCATTTCATAGAATGACGGAATCATAGAGTTGGAAGGGACCTCCAGGGTCATCTAGTCCAACCCCCTGCTCAATGCAGGAAATTCACAAATACTCCCCCTCACACACACCCAATGACCCCTGTTCCATGCCCAGAGGATGGCAAAAAGCCTCCAGGATCCCTGGCCAAACTGGCCTGGAGAAAAATTGCTTCCTGATCCCAAAGTGGAGATCAACATTTCCCTGGGCATGTACGAAAGGGCCACGAGAACTAAGCACTGAGGCAACCTGTCCTGTCCTCCCTCTCATAATATGTCTAAGTTCACAGAATCAACCTTGCCATCAGATGGCCATCTAGCCTCTGTTTAAAAACCTCCAGAGAAGGAGAGCCCACCACCTCCTGAGGAAGCCTGTTCCACTGAGGAATTTGTGAGGGATGCCCACTTGGCTAGAGATCAGTTTTGCAAGAGCTGGTATAGTGTACTGACTTAGACCGTGCTACGGATTGGGAAGTTCCTGATTCTAATTAGTCCTCTGCCCATGAAACCATACTTCCTTAGCCCTGCATCAGCAACTGCGTGGTGGTAATAGTCCTGTCTTACCAGGCTCCTGTCAATTATGGCAAGATAATGTATGTGAAGAACACACACCTAAGTACTACACCCATACCAAGGCACTATTAATATTCCTTGCTACCTCTGCCTGACTTAACACTGTCAGGATACATGCTTAACCTCATGTTCAGCCACTATAAATAAAGCCAAGTGGGTGCATACTTGAGATTCCTGGCGACACCCAAGAATTGCTGAAGCATTGTGTCTGGTTAGGGACTTGAGTGGAGTTTGTGTGTGTGATTCATTCAGTTTTTAACTTCTGCAGGTAACGCCAGTTGTCCCACTTTCCAACGACTCCTGGTCGATGTCGTTTGCCAAATACCTCGAGCTGCGTTTCTATGGGCATCAGTACACCCGCAGAGCCAATGCTGAGCCCTGTGGCCACTCCATACACCACGACTATCACCAGTATTTTTCATACAATCAGATGGTGGCCTCTTTCAGGTAACACTGGCTTTTGTTTGGAAGAGGCTTCAAGCCTCTCAGGAGGGAGGGCATCCAACAGGGTTGGAATGGTTGACTGGGTTGGTTGTACAGGGAACATCGTCTAGTTCCAGGAGTCACCTCTAGTAGTACCTGTGGGCACCATGAAAGAAGAATAGAAGAGCTGGATTTATACCCCGCCTTTCACTTGGAGTCTCAGAGCAGCTTGCAATCTCCTTTCCTTCCTCTCTGCACAACAGACACCCTGTGGTGGGGCTGAAAGTGTTCTGAGAGAACTGCTCTTGAGAGAACAGCTCTGAGAGAACTGTGGCTGACCCATGGTCACCCAGCTGGCTGCATGTGGAGGAGTGGGGAATCAAACCCAGTTCTCCAGATTAGAGTCTGCCACTCTTAACCAAACTGGCTCTGCTGACACCTTTCCTGGTGCCTGCTAAATGTTTTTAGGAAGTGGGTTGGGCCATGTGGGGCTTTTGCAAATCTTCTGATTGGCCATTGGAAATTTGATTGGCTGTGCAGATTTTTTAAAAAAATTTGCTTCGGCTGCAGCTGCCATCACAGCACCAGAATCTTCACTGTGTGACTGCAAGTAAGCCATGGCAGCCATTTTGTGACTGACTCCACCTCCCGCAGTAGCCATTTTGTGACTGCCTCCTCCACCACCCTGTCTCAGAATTCCAAAGATGCCCGCAGGCTCAAAAAGTTTGGGGACCCCTGGTCTAGTAGTCAATGCAATGTTCTATAGCAGGATGTTGTCATTTTCAAGAACGAATGAGTCTTGCAGCATTGGTAACTGTCAGATAAAGGGTTCCTATGGTGACTCTGCTCAGCAGCGTTCCAAGCCTTTTTCCAGCCTAAGAAAACTTCCACCAATAGAAAGTGTCTTCTTGGGCTGGGAAGAAAGGCTTCGAACTTTTGCTGGAGCAATAGTTTGCAGACTGGATATTTGGCTGCTTCCGACTCCAAGGGATCACAATGTGATTGAGTCTTATTATACTGTAGAACAAAGTCTGAGTCCAGTGTGGCACCTTGAAGACCAGCAGACTTTTATTCAAGGTATAAGCTTTCGTGTGCACTTCCTCAGATACAATGAAATGGAAATTACCAATCCATACATAAAGGTAGAGGGCAGGAGAAGTAAATTAGCTTACAGCATAATGAAGATGTTTAACAGATGCAAGGACCAAACTGGAATAACAAGCTTAGGTTATATGGTTACCATTTGTTTGGGTTTAATTTGGGGGGGAAATATAGTGAAGGAAATAAATATGTCAAAATTGGAGCTTGATGGGCAGATGTATCCTTAATTGTGGAATGTTGAGTGTAATTAACTGAGACCCTGCTATTACGTTCCATCCATCTCCTCTCAAGCATGGAGGTGACTGTAGTCACACTGCCAGGATGAGTTTGGGTGAGGATGGTTCCTTGACTGCCAAATCTCACTTAACCGATTCAGAGATTTCCTCATTTGTTTATGCATACATGCATTCATTTCTAGGCTGCTTTTCTCCCCAAAGGGGACTCCATTGGCTTAACTAAGGTTCCAGATTACAAAGCACAAATAGAGAATTGTGGAAACCAATTTGAACTAGTCCAGGTCTGCTTAGCCAGTAATCACTGGTCCTAGGCGTAAACAGCCATCGACAAATAGACCTTAGCCTGCTGTTCAAGGGCTTGTACCTTCGGCCCCATCTAGGCTAAACACCCACAGGAAGAGGAGGAAACAAGTTTGTTTGGAAGAGGCTTCAAGCCTCTCAGGAGGGAGGGCATCCAACAGGGTTGGAATGGTTGACTGGGTTGGTTGTACAGGGAACAGTCTTGGCTACATTGAGATCTGTGGACTGCAGTTTATGTGCTTCTCTGGAATGTAATGCTTTTGTGTTGATGGGGAACTCGATTGTGCTTTCAGACAGCTAAGTGCAAAATATTCATAGAATCATAGCGTTGGAAGGGACCTCCAGGGTCGTCTAGTCCAACCCCCTGCACAATGCAAGAAGTATCTCCCCCTCCTTACCGCCAGTGACCGCGGCGCCACGCCCAGAAGATGACAAAAAACCTCCAGGATCTCCAGTCAAACTGGCCTGGAGAAAAAGGCTTCCTGCCCCCAAAAGTATCGATCAGCATTTCCCTGGGCGTGTAAGAAAGGGCCACAAGAACTAACACTGATGCAGCCCTTCCTTCCCTCCCACTCATGATCTGCCTAAATTCATTATGATGTTGTTTCCTGAACAGATTTAAAAAAAATATCTTGGCTCGTCTTTAATGGTTTTGTTTTATTGATCTAGTTGTACGCCACCTTGAGCATGTCTCTTTTCTAAATAAATAATTATAGCAAAGGAAAGCTTTAGCACGTGAGCTTAGTTAGTACGTTGTGCCAGATTTTGGGTTAACCTGAACCGTGGCTTGGCACTATGTCTGAATTGTGAGCCATAATGTGGGACACGACAGCTTTCAGTTATAAAGATGGTTTTTCCCTCTCTCTTTTTGTAGTTATTCTCCTATACGGTTGCTTGAGGTGTGCGTACCACATCCCAAGATCTACATCAAACGTCGGGTTCCACTGAAGGTTACCATTCTTCAAGACCTGAAAGATTTTGCTCAAAAGTAAGTCTCCCTCCCCCCACCCTTTTCCCAGTCCATCATTTGTAACCTGAAGCTGCAATGTGGTTTCATCCGAATTGTCTTATCCAGATAGTTCAATTTGTTGGACTCTGCACTTTAAAACTTGTAAAACAAGGAAAGAGTTCTCTGCCCACACCATGGTAGTCATTTGCGTGTCTTTCCCAGGTTCTCTCCCCCTCCCCCTTATTTCTTCAGGATGTTTTGTACAGTTCTACCCACTTTTCTAATGGCAGAGCCTGTAGTGGTAGAGCCAGAAGGGAAATGTCATGGGTGGCTGGCTCTGTCCCACAACGCTAGAATCTGGAACATTCTGATTGTTGCTGGAACATTCTGATTGTTGCTGGAACATCAGAAACAGTTGAATCAGAGAAAAAAGGAAGGGGGGGGTGAAATTGGCTGGCTGAAGACCTTCCCACCTAATGGTATCTCCCCAGTTAAAAGCATCAGCCTTGTAGCTGAACATGATTGAATAGAACGGATACACCATCGTTAGCACCTTTCAGTATTTTGGATGCAAGGGCAAATTCACAAGAGTTTGGCTTGCAAATGCACATTTAAAATATTTATCAGCTGCCTTTGTGCCTTGGCAGCCACGATATAAATAAAACATTATTTTAAAACCCCACAATAATAACAATGATAAAACCCCATAAAAGTCAACAATTTAAAAACTCCAGTTAGGACTGCCAGTAAATAAACACTAAATCAGTCAAATGCAGTCCAAATTAAAACTTATCTTCAGCTGCCTCCTGAAGATCGACAATAAGGGGGCCAGGCACACCTCCCTGGGGCTGCCACAGTTTCCACAGTCTGTAGCATGCAGCAAACCAGCCAAGGCAGACTCTCAGTTCCTCACACATGCTCCGTGATGCGCAGGTTAGCTATTGCATATTTCATTTCTCTCTGTGTGTGTATTACACATAGACAAAACTGTATTGTATACCTCAAAGTATAAGGTGGCTTGTGTGCATGAAACTGCCTTGCATAGCTTGTTTACAGAATAACTCCTTCAGCATATAAATCTTATCCTTCTATTTTGGGATTCAGTTGCTTTCTTCAAGGGAACAGGAGATGGAGAGATATCTATCTCTCCCTCTCTCACTCACACACGCACACACACACACACACACACACACACTCACTCAATCGGATTGTTGTCTGGTTCCATTCAGAACATTTTGGACTGTGGCTTAACTTCTGAAAATCTCCTGTTGGCAGGGTGTCCCTGGTATACGGAGCTGTGGACGAACGCCTCACCTCTCTGAAAACGGATACCTTTAGTAAAACAAGGGAGGAGAAGATGGAAGACCTCTTTGCACAAAAGGAGGTAACGTCCCAAATGAAATGCAGGAGGGATCTACCACCTGTGGGCAATGCATCCTGAAGGGGTTTTCAGCCGGACAGGTTTCCAGTTTGCACAACACAGCAGGAAGATCTGTGCTGCAGCTTAGATAAGGATTAGGGGGGAAACTCACGGTCATGTGTTCTGTGCTTGGTAGCCCCCTAGGAAGACGGCCCAAGAGGAGCATCCAGGGTAGAGGGGAGGAATAGGGCCTCTAGCCTGAGAAGGAGTAGGACTTCCACAAAACACCTGTAATGATTCCTTGTTTTAAAAGTGTGTATGTCTCTCTAAATGTTTGGTTGGAGTGCAGTGACAGCAGAGTAGAGTGATTGAAGGAGACAAGTGTGGTGTGATTGGAGGATGAGAGAGTGTGGGAGGAGTTTTTGAAGTGAATCTCTGTGTGTGTCTTGAAGAGTTATGAAAGTCAGTTATGAAAGTCAATTAGTGAGTCTGAGAGAGAGTGAGATGACTCAGTTCTGTGTGGAGATTTAAAGAATTCAAAATATGTCTTTACAAGTTTAAGTGTGGAAGATATGAGAAGGGTTTGTGAGACTCCAAAGTTATAAAGAGAATTAATACAAAGTGCTTTGCCAGTGTGACTGGCTAGTGAAAGAGTGATTCCTGTCAGAGAGGGATCTTATGATCAAAAGACTGTGTGTGAAACCTTGCCAGTTTATTTTACCAGTTTCTCTTCCCCATAACAGTTACAGTTAACCAGCAACTCCTTTTTGTTCCTAAATCAATCAATCATATTTTGTTTAAGTTTAACCCAAAATTCAGTTCAATCCTTCCTCAGGGCCACAGAGACCAACAGCAAAGGAGATAAGATTTGGAATTCCTTAAATTCCTGGTGGCAGCAGAAACTACCCAGTTTACAAAAGCAAAGAGCACATTTAAAGTGAAAAGCAGTCCTCCCAGATAAGAGGACGCCACAACACCCTTCTTGTGTCTCCTCTGCTAGATGGAGGAAGTTGAGTTCCGGAACTGGATTGAGAAAATTCAAGCAAGGATGCTCTCAGCATCGCTGGACACGCCTCAGCAGCTGCAGTCAGTCTTCGAATCTCTGATCACAAAAAAGCAGAACCTCTGTGAGATGCTGCAAGCGTGGAATAACAGGTGAGAGGGTGACGGTCCTCAGTTCCTTGGGGCTCCTGTGTCTCTGGACTGTTACGATGTGCAGTTTTCCTCCGTTCCTTTGAATCGTTCTGGATGGATGGAAGCCTCAGAGTTTGCCACGAATTTGTTTTTCTATCAGTGAGTTGTTTTTCTGTAGTTGGGCAATCACAGGCGACTACAAAGTCCCAGATTTCTTCGTAAAGTTGAGCTTTTCTACGTGCTCGACTTACTCCTGATTTTCTTGGCCGATCCACAGGGCTTATAATCGATTTGGGCGTGGTTCTTCTGTACATGTGGACTCCCGCTGCATGTTCATGGTCGTGGAGTCAGTTTATTTTCTTCCATGGTTGCCTTAAATAATCAGGATTTTCAAGGGAAGGCGCTATCATCATTGATGGTGCCAGAGCACCCCCCCTTTAATTTTTGCACATGTTTTATATTGATATCGTGACCACATTTTTTAAAAAAGGCACTAAAATATCGATATACTGTTGTAATGTGTCAAAGCATGCTTCGCTTTGGTTGCTGTGGTTATTGGAGGGGTAGGGAATTCCTGCAGGGAGGGGGGTTGAGTGAATGAGTGAGAGAATGGAACCTTTGCTTCTAGAAGTCATAACTTTCTTCCAAGTCGCACCTCCTTTCCATTTCCCAGGGGAAGGTGCCCTTGAGAGTTCCTCTGTACCAGCTTGAGCAGCAGATAACCAAAACACATATCTTTCACTTGGTTGGGATGGCAACATTAGACATGGTGGGAATGTGACGTATGCCTGGGGGAAGGAAGGGGCTTTTATTCAAATTATCTATATTAAGCTTGTACCTGCCAAAAGTCTTCAGTTCTAACACAGTGACTTTCTGGATCTTGCATACATCTCAAACTTATCACTGCCAAGAGAGAGTTGTTGAGTGTAACTGGACTTGGGGGTCTGACAGAATGACAGGTCATGCAGGTTCTCTAAATCCCCAGCTTTAATTTTTTTAAAAAACTGAGTCCTTAGCCCTTTCCCTGGTCGCGATAATGCCTTTTCCCTTATACCTCCGCAAGGGAAGGGGCTAGAGGCTTAGTTTTTTAAAGACATGAAAATTGGGAATTCAGAGAACCTGCTTTACCTGTCATTATAGTACATCGATCATTTAGTGCCATTAAAAAAACGAAACCACTCATATTCAGGGTGGGTGAGAGGAGAGGGAGTGGTTTGACGATAATCCGGTCATCCAAAAGTGGGCTGGAGGTGGGTGAGAGTGGCTGGGACGAAGGAATCCAACAGAAACGTCATGTACGAGGGGGGAAAGGTGACTCGGAAGTCAGCTTCCAGAAAAACTGGGGTAAAAGTGGTCTGAAAAGAACCAGAAAAAAGTCAGGGGGAAAACAACAACAACCACTGAAGTGAAAACTAAAGGCACAAAAATACATGCAAAAACCAGGGGATAAACCAAAGTAGTATGGGGCCAGATCTGACCCACATCTCCCCCAGAAAAGTTCATTGCCTAAGTAAATAACCCTTGTACCGAGAATGAGTTCATGAGTGATTGGGCTGCAAGCAAGTAAGGGAACATAAGCATAGAAAGGCACCCAGCCTTTCTTGTGATCCCCTATGGAAGTCCTGAAGAGCCAGTTTGGTGTGGTGGTTAAGTGCGCGGACTCTAATCTGGGAGAACCGAGTTTGATTCCCCACTCCTCCACTCGCACCTGCTGGATGATCTTGGGCAAGCCATAGTTCTGTCAGAGCTGTTCTTGAAAAAGAGCCGTTTCTGTCAGAGCTCTCTCAGCCCCACCTACCTCACAGGGCGTCTGTTGTGGGGAAATGTCATTTCAGTCTGGGATGAACGTCGATGGCTTATTGCCAGTGATGGGGAGCGGTTTTTTTTCCCCCCCAGACTGCACAAGAGGTGGGATGGGGTCAGGTGCGAAGGGTGATTGGGTTCAGACCACTTGAATGGAACCAAGTCTTTAACAATTTAAGGACTGAATGAGTTCTTGGGTGAAATAGATTCGATCAGCTAGATGTCCTTCCTTCTACTGCGTCTGTACCCCGAAAACAAAAGCTGCTTCCGGTGTTGGTATGATCTGTGGTCCTAAGCTATACGGGAACAGTAACTCGAATCCTATTTGCAGGCTACAGGATCTCTTCCAACAAGAGAAAGGCAGAAAACGCCCCTCGGTGCCCCCCAGTCCCGGAAGACTGAGGCAAGGCGAAGAGAGCAAGGTAGTGAATTCTGTTGTTTCGAACAGAGAATTTTAACGCTGCTGTGTTTACCTCCAATCAGAGTCGCAGAATGTTCCTTTTCATCCTTAATATTCTCTAATTATCAGGCAGTACCATAATACCAGCATAGCCGTTTTTGGAGCTTGCTGTATCTCAACAACGTAGGTAACCAACTTGCAAGCCCTAGGCCTGGGCTCCCCAGAATGGTGCCCGTCAACACGTTTCCTGGTGCCCGCCAGGTGGTTTTAGGAAGTGGGTGGGGCCAGGTGGGGCTTTTGCCCAGCAAGGCTTCTGATTGGCCTCTGGAGGTTTGATGGGCTGTTCAGATTTTTAAAAGCGTTGCTTTGGCGGCAGCTGCCGCCGCAGCACAAGGATCTTCACGGCGGCTGCCATTGTATGCCTGTGCGCCCACCACCAGGATTCCAAAGGTGCCCACAGGCTCAGAAAGGTCGGGGACCCCTGCCCTAGTCTGTAGTTGGAATCACCATACTCCGGTATGAGAGAGGTGGAGGCATCTTCCCAATGGCTGTATGTTACTTGTGGAGCAAAGCACATAGGCTGGTTTTCGGAGAAGGAACGCGAGCTGCCGTGCACATGAAAATATGCCCCGTATGGCTCTGACCTGGATAGCCCAGATCTCGTCAGATCTCGGAAGCTGAGCAGGGCTGACTCCGGCAAGTACTTGGATGGGAGACCTCCTTGGAATACCAGAGGCGGGAGGCAGGGGCAGGCTTTATTCAGCCACCTCTCTGAACATCCTCCAGCCCCCCCGCAGGGGTCAGTCATCAGAGGTCACCGTGACTTCCAGGTGCACACACACGCACACGCACGCCCATGAATAATACGAGATATGCCCCCATATGCTTCTGTGGGTAAACATGAAGCTACATTTCCTCCTTTGGGCAATTGGAATAGGGACCTGGAGCATCGAACCATCAGGCCGTGGATGTCCCAGGGAGGCAGCAAAATAAATGTGGCTCTCTCTCTCTCCTGGGGACTCCCAGTGTTTCCCAGAGGCACATGTTCTGTTGCTGAGTTGCTTGTCTTCATAAGAAACATGCATCTCTTCATCCCTGGAGACCAGGAATCACAGTTTGGCTCCCTTTCTTGCTGCTTCTCTGAGGCTTGGGCACATGGGGGGGGGGGCGCCAGAAGGGATCCTCGCCTAGGGTGCAAAATAAACTGGGGCCGGCCCTGCCAGGGAGACAGCAAAATAAATGTCTCTCTCTCTCTCTCTCCCGAGGACTCCCAGTGTTTCCCAAAGGCACATGTTCTGTTGCTGCGTTGCTTGTCTTCATAAGAAACATGCATCTCTTCATCCCGGGAGACCAGGAATCACAGTTTGGCTCCCTTTCTTGCTGCGTCTCTGAGGCTTATAAAGTTGGCCCTAGGAACACGCTCTAGGCTAGGGGTGTCGAACTCATTTGTTATGAGGGCCGGATCTGACATAAATGAGACCTTGTTGATGACGCAGCAGCAGCAGAACTGGAAGAAGGAACAGAAGACAGCCAGTTCCACTGCGGGCCTGATAGAAGCCCTCCGGGGGCCTGGTCCGGCCCCCGGGCTGCATGTTTGACACCCCTGCTGTAGGGTGACCCGCTGCTGCCGATAAAGCTACTAGAGCCTCGCACAGATGAGAAGCCAGGGAGGCATGCAGACAGTGGTCCGTTGGCTTGCTCTGTGATGCTAGTGAACCGAATGGCTGTCCATTATGCCGCCAAGTTCTGATCAGCTAGCAGCTTCAGCCACGCATCTGCAGCTGTAAGATCAAGCCACCCGTTTCTATGTTGAACATCACATTTCTACTGGCCTGGTCCGGCCCCCGGGCTTCATGTTTGACACCCCTGCTGTAGGGTGACCCGCTGCTGCCGATAAAGCTACTAGAGCCTCGCACAGATGAGAAGCCAGGGAAGCATGCAGACCGTGGTCCGTTGGCCTGCTCTGTGATGCTAGTGAACCGAATGGCTGTCCAGTATGCCGCCAAGGTCTGATCAGCTAGCAACTTCAGCCACGCATCTGCAGCTGTTTCTATGTTGAACATCACATTTCTACTCAAGAGGAAACCGCTTCCTAGTATTTTTGTTCTGCTGCTCTATTCTAAGCATAACAAGTCCTGCAGAGTTCAGTGAGAATTACTCCTCAGTTAAATGTATGTAGGACTGTGGCTACAGAGTAAAAGCCCACGGCAACATTAGCAGTACAAACAATTATCTCCAACTTGGTAGCTTTCTCGAATTAAGTGGCGTACTATGGTCGAAGAAAAACCAAGCCTAAGTGGTCAAAGCAGTTTCTTGGTGGCCATCCTCTCTATAGGGGGGTTAATGGTCATCAGGGCAAAAGGGCAGCAAGTGCAAATCTGAAGCGGCAGCAGGAGCCATGTGTTCCCTTTCTCGTCCACAGATCAGTGCGATGGATGCCTCGCCCCGTAACGTCTCTCCAGCAATACAAAACGGCGACAAAGGTACGTTCTGCATTCTTTTAACAAGCCCTGCAACAAAAGTGAAACAAATTGGCTGTTTGGTGTAGGGGTTAGGATCCTCCTCCTCCTCCTCCTCCTCCTCCTCATGTAAAATGGCAAGGGGAGAAAAATTATTTGCTGTCTTCCTGCTAAATTAATGCATTCTTCCAACCAAACAGTGCAGTATGTATAGACGTTCTGAATATCAGTATGGTGCAAGTTGGAGTAATCTCTTGTCTGTGTCTTCACTTAACAGAGGACCGTTTTCTTACAACCTTGTCAAGCCAGAGCTCCACCAGTTCCGCTCTCCTCCAGCTTCCCACCCCTCCTGAAGTTGTGTCGGACCAGTTGACCGGGGGGGCTTCCTTTGCCAGCGTGCTCCCTGAGCCCGAGACCACTAGCAGCACTGAAGGTAGCTGCTCCCTTTTTTGTTCTGCTTTCATCCAGTTGGTTGCTCAAACACTGCCTGAAACGTGCCAGTTAAACAAATTATCTTGCTGACGGCCTGGGTTTCTTCCTCCCACCCATTAATGATCGACTTTCGAGTGCCAAGTATACGAATATGTGACAAAAATAGATCTATTTACTGATTTGCTGAAGGAACCAAGAAATACACGGTTTCATATTTTAAAGCAGTATTGGAAATGACTCCAGCGAACATTCAGAATCCAAAGTAACTAAAAGTGACCCTGAATATCTGGCATTTAAAAACTTTCCCCCCTGAAGTTCCACAAAGTTCTGAATCTGTAGATATGTTTATAATTTAAGTGTGACCTGAGATAACACCAGCAGAGATGCCAGAACTTGCTGGCCTGCCAATAGGTAGAATACACAGATGGGATATCAATGAAATATATATACTTAACAGTAAAAATAAAATAATTAAAAAAAAATTGGGTTCTATTTTTAGCTCTTTTGCTTATGATGCTTAAAAAAAAAAAACCCATAGCCATTAGGACTTTTTTTAATAAGAAAGCTTTACTAGGGGTTCTTAAAAAGCTATTGTTTGCTACTGACTTTGTTAAGGAACAGATCCCTAATGTGTCCAGAACTCTTTATACTTTTTTGCCAGAGGTGATTTTTGGGAAAGGAAACAAAGGCAGGCTTCTGTTTGTGGCTAAGAACAAAACCACAAATTGGTGTAGTGGGAGAATTAAATTTAATTCCACTGTGAGACCCCTACGCATTTTGCTACACTTCTACACTTCGTCAAGGGGTCCATAAAATGTCATATTCTGAACAGTCCCCACAGCAACAGAGTTTGAGCCAATTCCCTCTTGCTTTTTGCCCTCCTTTTCTTGCTTCTGTTTGTGGCTAGCCATTGTGATGTGCGTCCCATGTAGCGTCTTAATTATTTAAAATTGTTGCTTGCAGCTTTTTCTTGAGTCGTCTAAGATTTAAACCCTGAACACTGTGGTGGTTGGGTCTTAGTTCATCTTCTAAATCTAGGCTGCCTGATCCAGATTATATTAAGACCATCATAATCTCGCCATCTCCACTTTGCTACTAGGAATACAGCTGCCAGTTGTGAAATATAGTTAAAATTCTGAACACAGAGCTATCTGCTCTAGCTGTTGCTTCCGCCTGCGTTGAATTTGTCTGTGCTTTGAGATCAGTTGGTGTTTGTGTGCACAGATGGAACGGTTAGAAAGGCCGAGCCCTTAACATTGAGGCAACAGAGGTTTATCCTGCCCCCATGGCCTTCTTGAAATCTCTCAGAATTATTTTATTCTGGAGACCTTCTATTGCTTCTTCGTCCCAGTGGTTGTTGCTTTTGAAGTTCCAGTACTGATGTCACTGGCTGACTGCTCGTCCTTTAGGATCTTGGTTTGTTTTCATCTCCTGCAGCCTTGCTGCTTATTCAATTGCTTCTCTTATTTGCATTCTGCTACTGCAGGGGTGGAAAATGGTCAGTAAAGTCAGTAAAAGTCAGTTTTTTCATCTTGGTCAGTAATTTGTCATTTTTTTAAAAAAAAAAAACTGGTCAGTAAAGTCAGTGTTTCTTTGATTTCTGTGAATGCAGTTTGTGGGTTGTTTTGTTTTGTTTTCATTACTGCATTTTGGAGGAAACATGATGACTTCCCAGTGAGAAGACAGATGGTTTTTAGTTCAGTTATGAAGGACTTTGTTCCTAAGAGTAAAAGTGATTTGGTGAAATCTTCCACAAAGTATAGAAACATAATTACCCCCTTAAAACATGAGACGATGAAAGCAGAGGTGATTTTTTTTTTTTTTTGCACGAGTGCCCGCTTATTTACAAACTTCACTGGAGTGTTCCAGAAAGAAAAGCCTTTGATGCATGTGATGCACAGTGAAATAAAAATGCTCACAAGAACCATAATGAATCGTGTTTGTAAGAGTTTAGCACCATTGTCTCTTGAAGCCCTCAGTGATGAGCACTACATAACCTGTGAGAGAAGTAAGTGAAAGTAGAATCTGTGACGAACTGAAAAAAACTTTCTGAAAAGGAACAGCTACTTTTTTTTAACAGGAGCAAAAAACCCTATTTCATAGCAGCCTGGAAACACCTTTTACTCCAGTCATCTTTGGACAAGCCCATTTAGCTTCAGCAGAGAATCAAGGAAGGAACCCAGAAGGATATAATGAAAGTAGTAGCAGCACTCCGAATGGATATCCCACTGGACATGACTCGGGATGAATGGAAACTTCTTAGACTTGAAGATGAAACTGCCAGTGAAACTTGTTGTATAAATACATACTGGAATCAGTTCTTTGAAAAGACACACCCATCTGGAGATTCAAAATGGTGAAAGCAGCATTATCATTATTGCATGGTAGAGCGGACATAGAAAGAGGGTTTTCAAAAACTGGATGCATTTTGACCAATGAAAGGGACAGGATGTCAGA